CCCTGAGGGCTATTTATTCCCTTTTGTTTTTGTATCCCCAGTGCCCAGCACAGGGTCCGACACACAGTAGGTATTTAATAAATGCTTGTGAATTGATTGTAACATTTGCCCTTCCCCTTCACATCTCCTCCCTCCTCAGTAGAACAGGGAGAGTTTCCGAATAGAAAATCCAGAAAATGAAAAGACCAAAGATCAAGTTTAAGAAATATTCAATTTTTCAATGAGAGGAAGAGACATAGAACAGTTTATGCATGGCAGAAATTCATTTCGTCTCCTTTCCCCAATCCCCCTACTAAGACCATGACAAAGTGTTTATTTTTCAAGCCTTGCACACTGTGTCCTAATATTTATATTTATATGTATCTGGAGGATGGAGGCCTCTCTTCAACTATGTGTCTACTCAGCATCAGCTCAATGCCTCCTGAATTTGCTGGGTCAAATTTAACCCTTTCTCCCTACCCTCCACCCTCCCCCAGCAAATGGAGTGATGAGTCAGAAGGAAAAGGTAAATTACCGGTCTGTAAGTACTTCCAAAAGTGTTCATCAGTGAGGGGCTACCATAAGGGAATTGGAGTGAGGGGCACAGCATGGGAATTCATGCTACCTTTGACTTTGTATTCTTAGCATCCAGCAGGGTGCCTCACATAGAGTCGGAGCTTTTAAAAACGACACTTGATTAATTGGACATCAAACTATAAAAACTAAGCCCAAAGGCAGAAGGACTGAACCACAATCTTTACTCATTCCCATAAGGAGGGGTTGATGTTTGTCCGGGGTGGGAGTATGGAAGGGGGACACATGGAAGGGGGTTCACAGAGTAAAACATATTGTTTCTACCTGTGTAAGCTCTTCTATTTATTCCGTGTGGTCTTCCCACAAACAGTAGCTCCAAGACTACTAATTTTTTTCTATTTTATTAGATGAAATTGTTAGTTGTTGTTCTGTAATGTTTTACTTATTATAATTAATGTATCAGCTTTCTGTACTTGTGCCCTGGAGCACTCCTGTAAAAGATGAGATTTAAAAAGCTGAATAAATAGATATTGACAAAGTAAAAAATTTACGTTTGTGTGCTTAAGGCAATAATTGGGTTCATTTACCAGGGCAACAGGATTTGCTACCATATGTCCCAAAGTCCCATTACAGCCCCTTCTGGAGACAGTAAAATAACACTGCTCTAATGACTATTATAATTTGACACTCTTCTGGGAATCTTAGAGTCCAAAATGAAAGACCTTGAGGTCATCTAATCCAACCCCTTCAATATCTAGATAAGGAGTCAAGACCAGAGAAAGGATTTTCCCATGGTCACATGGGGTAGTCAGAAGTAGTATCAGAACCCAAGTCTTCCGTGATCCCTATCAAGTTCAACCCTAACTTCTACATCTTAGCTACCCCTTAAATTTGAACTGCACACGTGCATGCACACACACACACACACACACACATATTCATTGATTTCTATTTGATCAATTTTCTAGCACTAAGGATCAAAGTAAATTTTATAAATTAAACATTTTAAAACTTAGGCTAACAAGTCAAATATTTACTAAAACAAATGGGTAAAGGCCATAATTCTAGCACTACCTTTGAAAACACAGACTAAAGCATGACTAACTTCAATTTCCAAGGGCCAGCAAAAATGGATCACTGAAATGGATTTGGTTAAACAGAGCATTTATTTTTAAAGTGACTTAGGACAACCACCACCAAAAGCACTTGGTTTGGGGAAACTAACCTGCACCTCAGCTCTTCCTTCCACTCAAGAGGAACAGAGAATAATGCTGCCTCATGCTCTTTTTAATTATTTGTTTGCTTGCTTTTCACTACACTGGTTTTCCACCAGTGTATACCTACCAGAAAAGGATGATCTGAAGTTGAGAGATGTCAGACGGACCAGGAGCCACCAATATATGTCCAAGTGAGGGTGAAAAATGGGCATGAGGGTGAAAAAAGGTACATGGTGCCTGCCTACCTCTTGATGGGATCACAGAATTACTCAACTCGAAAAGAATCCTATAAGTGGTGGAGCTCACATGGACATCCTTCAGTGAAGATCACAAAACCAAGGTCAACCAACTGGTCATTTAGTCCAGCCTTTAGTCCAGATGTTTTCTCCTCCCACCCAAAATCTTTAGGCTGCCAGAACATATACCATGTACATGTTCCGTATCTATGGGTTAAGGCTGTCCTTTCCATTCTTAATAAATGTTTA